GCAGTGTTCACACAAGCTTCCTCCCTGTCCTGTCCTGTCCTGTCCAAGTTCTCTTCCCTTCAGGTTTTCCGACCAAAATTTTGTACGCATTTCTAATCTCCTGCACGCTACATGTCTCGTCTGCAGGCTTATTATACTCGATGTAATGTTTCTAATTTTCACCAGCTTTCCGTTACATTCCTTAGGCCAAAATATTCTCTTCAGTACCCTGTTCTCAAACTTCCGCAATATGAAATACCAAGATTCATATCCATTCAATACAACAGGTAAAATTATAGTTTTATAAATTTTAATCTGTTCGATTTTAGAAGTAAGTTTTTGAGCTCGATGGTAGAAAGAATTTTAAGAATTTAATCTTTATGTTTGTAATGTGTCACTCATTGCCCTGATTATGGAGGCAGCAAGGACCTCTGAAACGTCGGTAAACTTCTACCAGACTACACGACCCCACAACCCAGAAGACAACCATCTTCAGACTCACAGCCATGAAAACCTCAAATTCTACATTGATAATAACCTGTTTGAAGCAAGAGTGAATGGAGAACAGAAATGTAAATTATACACCGACATCCCAGAAAAAATAAATTGGCACTATCTGCAACTGAAGCAAGTAACATTATCATCTGTTCAGGGTCTGTTTGAAAAGATTATAATGAATGAGATGACCTAAAACTTTTATTAAACATCTTTTGCATTACGGATACCAACACGGAACAGCACGAACAACTGAACATAAGAACCTAGAACATAGCACAATGCTCATTCTTCAGACACCAAAAATCTTGTTTTGTGATGACGTTCTCACCTCGAACATGAAACATATTAATCATGCTATAATGGCACCTGAATGCGACATCTGGGAAATTATGAATTCAGCGTAAAACCTTAAACGAACTGAAAAAAATAATACAAACACTGCGAATGAACAAATTTATTGAGATTGAAAGTTCTGCTGTTTTGAGGAAATAACTCTAGTGTGCATCACAGATTTTAAACGACTACGGTGTTCTTTGCATTAAGGCCTGTACACTTTCTAGTCAAAATCTTTAATAAAAATGCGTTGTGAGCTATCTATTTGCAATTCTCTGGCGTTGGTCCGATTGTTCAACGCCGACAACACAAATACAAATCCAATCCTGAGCATCATGGGCTACATCCAATCCGCATTACCTGAGATAATTTCCTTGAGAATCGTTTTAATATTATACTACCACTTCAGCCTCTCCATTCCAAGTAATCGCTTTCACAAAGTTTTTCAAGTTAAATTACGCACTCATTTGTTTTTCCCATCTGACTTACACGTTCGGCCAAACATAAAATATTAACGTACACACTAAAACTCGATCATAACGAGTGCAGCAGGATCGATTACTTTTGCTCGTTATAACCGTTATCAGCTCCAACGTTAAAAAAATCACGTATCAAATTACAAGAAACGATTACATATTTAGAATATTTAATCAAATCTATTATAAAAACATATTTTACTTTGTCAAGATGTTGATAAAATGACAATCAAAACGCAAAAAAAAATGTAGATATGTACAGATACCAGTTATTACCTTGTTCATCTGAAACGAATTTTGATGTGGAAATTTGTTCACTAGATTTTACTTTGACATCTCTATGACTTATTTTTGTTACACTGGGGGAATTATGCGTTTTATATCGTTGTACGTACTCCAGATGTCGCCAAATCGTTATCGGCGTGAACGAAATCTTAAATATCGGGAACATGTTTGTAGATTATTTTTTATTTCACTCTGTTTCATAAACTCAGCAAAATTAAGTTCACCTTCAGCAACGGTTTTGTTATTTACGTCTCCTAATAATAAGAAGCAGACCTTTCTGAAGGAATTTGAAATCATTGCAGACGTAGGAATATCCCATGCGTCGAACGCAGATAAAATTTGCTTTGTTCTTTTACAAAATCGAAACTGTTGACGACCCTGACGGTACAGGTGTTCATCAAAACTGGCCTGATGGAGTCTTGGGAATATGAACAACTGAAAAGGATAAGGCAGAATTTAAAAAAAAATCCAGAGAAACAAAATTTACGCGTATCCGTGAAGCACGATCGTTATAATATACGAGAATTTCTGTACATAATTTTAGGTGCATTAAATGTGCAGTCATTTGTTCGCTAAAGCCATGAAATCGTATCAGTGTTCGTTATAACAAAGCTTTACTGTAGAAAGGAAATTACACATCACACACTTCCTCATTACTTCACACAAGTATCTACTCTATCCCACATACTCCTGCAGATAAGATGGCTGTCTTCTTGGTTGTTCTGCCGTCAAGTCTGGTAGAAGTTTACCGACGTTTCTGAGGTCCTTGCTGCCTCCATCATCAGGGCATGAGGAGACAGCCATCTTCAGACTCACCGCCGTGAAAACATCAGATCCTACTTAATCTCTCATAGTTCTGCATTTTAATATTAAACGTCTGAAAATTATGTTTCTTCCCTTGAGATAATAGATAATGTATCACATTCGTACACATTGGGAGAATCAAGACTTCTGAACATCTAGGTAGTTTACGTTGTGGAAAAAGAAAACCACGCAATAAAACGATACCAGTTATTTTTTGAACAGGCATTCTGAATTGACTCTTGCCTAAATGCGAGAGGAACGGCTATAATTTTACATTTTTTCGTACCACCAGCGAAGAAACAACTTCTGTGCACTTTTTTGGAGTTACATCCCTGCCTTTTTACAGCAAGTACACTTTTAAATCCTTGTATTTGCACGTCATTTAAATTTCACAGTAACTACACCCGTCCATCTATAGTCTGTTTAATTTAAAACGCAACCTATTATACAACATTATCTGTGAGCTTCGGTGACATCAAAGCAATAAGATTTAGTTTTAGTTCTTAATTTTAGAAACAGCTCAGATAGCAGACCTACTTTTGATTTCATTTATGTACTGTAGTACGTAATTGTTGTTTGGATGCGTTTTAAATCGTACACCCTGTTTACAAGGTCCACAGCAGTTAGCCAAATTCAGCTATTTTAACTATGAACAGAACAATTTAAATTGCCCTAGTGAAGCAGCTAATCACACCGGGTACATACTTTCGTTAGTCTTCAACTTGCAACGAGCCAAACTTCTTCCAGAGATCAGAAAGGTTCAGTCCATTAGTACGAGATCTGTGTCTTCATAGCAGATGTTTTAGTTTTAAATATAACACAACAACGTGTTTCGTCGTTCCTTTCAGGATGCACGAAAGCTCTGTTTTACAGCAGACACACAATAATTAAACGACATTAAGTTTGAGTTATTTTAGTTTTGTGGCGAGTTCAAATTTTTTGTTCATTGTATCAAGGCACAAAAACGTGTGCACAAAGAAAACGTGATTTTCCAGGTGAGTTTACAGAATATTTGTGATGTGTACTTTGCCTTCGTTCTTGGTGAGAAACTTCTTGCATAATTTCATAAAGGGCCTATGCCGTACAGCTTCATCAGTTCAGTGATGGACGACAGGAATTCGATTCCCGACGAGACAGGATTTTTCTCTTCGCCGCAATGTCCAGACTGGTTCTGAGGCTCACCCGGCCTCCTATCCAGGGGGAGGAATGCTCATACTTCGTACTTTCCTCTCCCAACTTTAAGCACTTGTTAGTCATAACAGTAAACGCCACCCTGTCTGCACCATTTTATTTTCACACCGTTCGTTATGACAGGTGATGTGGAAACGACAAAGAGAAACGAAAAGCCGTCTTCATTCTTGCTGGAAAGAACGCAGTAAACAATGCAGAATAGCTTACACCCAGAACTAGTCCATGGCCCCAACACAGAGAATTTATTGTTTGCCAACACTGAACGCTAGGTTCGAAGAAACCAACAACAGAGAAGTGTTGTGTTTTAAGATGGCTGTCTTCTGCGTTGTAGTGCCGTGTAGTCTGGTATTAATTTACGAACGCTTCAGAAGTCTTTGCCGCTTCCATCATCAGGGCGATCGAAACGCTACAACCCAGAAGACATCCATTTTCATATTCGTCATAGTGAGAACCTCAAATCCTGGTAAGTATTCTGTTTAACATACCACTGATCAGAATACTTCTCCAAACACAGCACAATTATGGTACTCGCTACCCGAAATTTCCAATTTCCATGCGGAAGCACATTCGTGAATGGTAGAACTGACGAATAGATTAATTTTAAATTCCTAAGACTTTTACAAACCATTTCCATCTGACGTAAATATGGGCTTCATTTTTTGGTTCGTAGTCCTAATACAAACTTAACTACAACGCAATTTACAGCACTTTTGTTACGACAAAAAGTGGTTCGTATACTACAAATACCAAGCGAAATTTATCAAAAACCATTATAACAATGTACATGCGGTGAACTGCGACACAGCGTAACAACCCAGAAGACAAAAATCTTCATACTCACCGCTGTGAAAACCTCAAATCATACATGGAAGAATCCTGATCAACCCCAACAAAATACTAAAGATTCCACAGACGTTAACGTGTAACTCACCAAATTCTTTGGTTGGTGCTTGCTGATAATCAGATCTTGCCATTCTTCGTCGTTTTATTTTGTCTCACTTTCAGTTTCTATACTACACTAAACAGAAATTGCTGTCAGCACATTACAGGCAAGGACGTCTTATGTAGTCCACACCTGACACTTGCTGGCACAAGATATCAGAACTAAAAACCGACAACAGATAAAGATAACAGAGTCAGTTCTTTTCGTCACGTGTAATCGGCCCAATTGTGTTGGGATGAATTTCCATCATACACGCTACTACACACAACTGCCTGAACTCTGTCGTGAAGAACAAATTATTACTTCCAGCACAACTCCTCAGCCAGCTGACTACCCATGACTGCTCGCCCCTCCACAACTGTCCTCACCCTAACACCATAGCGGCCAATGTCAACGAATTGTTACATTACTGACATCTATTGCGGGAAAGTTTAAAACAAAGTCGTCTCCTCTATCGGGACTAGTCTTAACTACTAGACACTGTACCAGTTGTTCGTTAAATGTAAGTTCATTTGTTTCTACATAAGTATGAACATTTGCATTCAAAGTTGCAAATTTCAGGTTGTCAGAACAATGCTTTTTGGAGTGTAACACCCACCGCAGAATGGAACATATACGAATCATTGGTAACTTTTGAAATGTGTGCGATATATTCGATATACAATATTTGACTTTTAACCTAACTTCTTGTTCTGTGTTGTTGGCGGGAATATTGCGAATGCCAGTTATTGGCGAATTATATGTAGTTGTAGCTATTGACTTGTAGTATTAGGTGTAAGTAATATATGAGATTATGAATGAGGCGTATTTCTTCATGTAGGTGCTTAACCTTTGTGAAAATGGCTCAAACGAGGCATGAAAATGAGCTTGGCACAGCTTCGGACAAATGCCAAAGAACAATTGGTGATGAAGATAATGGAAGCAGTTACCTACCCACTTCTAAAAATACAACTACCTCAACTGGAAGAAAATCATTTTCCAGAAGGAGGTCATCATGTTTTGACACTCAGGGTCTGTACTGTAGTTGTTATTTTATTTAATGGCATGTGTAGGATGTCACTGACTAACGTTAAAATAAAAGAGTTTGTGAAACCCTAAGGGGCAACTCGAGAAATTGAGGCTACTGTAGACTCTTTCATGTGCTGAAAGTTCAGACCAGCTGCCTTCAACGTGACAGTTTAGTGCAGAATTCCACTCCATTTAATTTTTGCATTGGATCTGGGTAATTTTTATGATTGAATCATAATTCCTGTTCTGTTTGTGTTTGGCTTCATTATATGCATTTTATATCATAAAAATATTAATGAGTACGATATTTAGGAACCAGTGACTGGTCTTGTCCAACTCCCATCCATCATTCTCAGCACAGTTTGGGCTTCATTTGGCAGGACACATGAGTGGACTCAATTTCATCAGTTTTGATAATTTCTGAATACTGTTTTGCCCAAGTTCTATCCATTGTTTTATTAAATTTCTGTTATCTTTACTTCTAGCAGAAATCAGTGGATCAACAAGTAACAAGAACACTAATCATCAGTTGGGTGTTGAAGAAAGTGGAACTGCAGCTACTTCTACTAAAGAGTATTAAGTCATTTACAGTTATTCCAATGAGATAGTAGAACATTGTTTAGGTTAAGAGGTAACTCTACCCCTCCCTTTGCCAAACAACCTAGCATCTTGGAGGTTAATTCAAAATTGTAATTAGTTTCAACCCTGTATTGCACTCACTGCCATACAGAAATTGCTTTTTCTGGTATTGTGTAAAATCATCCAATTGTGGTTGTTAGAGCAACTGAGTGAGAGTCATGAGTGTCTGTACCTCCAAGATAATTGTAAGGACTTACAAGACAGTATTAGGTTATTATGCTTACCATGGCTGCCTTTGTGGTCTTTTGGTTAGCATCCTAGCCCAGTATTTGAAAGTCCTGTTTAGTCCCAGTTGTCATAACTGATCTTAAAGTAGTGGTAAATCCTGTCTGTATGATGGTAGGCAATCACCAGAGAGCAGTAAACATAACTCCTGAAACACACAATATATTAATTGTACCATACCTCAGACAGAGTGCACAATGTCAACATTGATCCCATATCACCACTAAGCTTAAAATTTAAAAAAAACCCACACACACACACACATATATATATATATATAAAATAACCAATTACCTGAAAATGAGAGTAGAGGCAGCTCCTGAAATGTATACATCAAATACACCTCAGACAGTGGACAACATATGTTATTTTGCTATAATCAATCAACCATTGCTACAAACATTTACAGAGTTGTTAGAAATAGCATTGGTTACAAGAAGTATGAAGAGTGGTTTCCATCATATTAAATACTCGCATGGTATCTATTGTAGGTGTAAAGAGCTCTTTTGTTAGAATTTTCAGTCTGAAAATCATGACATATCCCTGGCAGTGTGGTAACATCGTTTCCTTGGATGCAAAGCGCTATACAGCATTTTCATCCTGTGAACTTCTCTATTGAGAAGTAATGTGTATGATAGAAGGTTAAAATGAATTTTAGATTGGTGTTCAAAATGTCAAAACCTGTCTCCTCTCAATGTTTGCATTTTCCTTACCAGGGAAGTTCATTTGCATGAAATTACTGATGCTGCCTTAACATTTCTGGATTCATTTCTAAATTCTCCTTTTACCTACTCCCCAGTTTGATTAATTTTGAAAGATGATGTTCCATATATAAATTGATAAAACATTGTCTATACCAGATTTCACACTCTTCTCGAAAGAAAATACAGTTATAATTTGTTACTTCATTTTTGTTTTTTTGTGAATTAATTTTAGAAAGTTTCATTGGAATACATTCAAGGTCCTTGTAATTTTTGTTATTACATGAACTTATTTCCACTGTGATAAGAATAAATATCAAATAATGATCATGTAGATACTAGTAGGACTGGACAAATGTTGTCAAGGTCTAGGACATATATATCTATATTTTTGATAACATGACCAAAGGTAATATTTGGAGTATGCATATTTTCACCACGTATGATTTTTAGGTGATCAGGGACATGGAATTTGTCAAGCCATGTTTACAAGGTTGCCAGAGATTCTTTACTAGACATAGTGTTATGAAGGACTGTCTTTAATTGGAAATGAAAATAAGACATATATTCCTAGAAGCAGGAACATAAATTCTGAAATGACACAAAGCAACTTTAATCTTGGAAAATACAGCTCAGCTTACTGAAATGCACTTTCTGAATAGATTTAACTGTTGAGTAACTGATTCTACATTTTAAGTGGCAAAAAGTACTTAAAACACAGCCACTGTTTAGTGCTGACCTACATAAAAAAGTAGTAGGAGTGACTAAAGAGATGCACAAAGAAATTTTTTTCATTGTTTAAGGTGCATGCAGAAATTGAAGTTGGAAAAAGAAGCATGGCGAACAATGTGTGAAGAAAGGAAGAAAGCTTATGAAACAATGAAAGAGTAAGTAAAAAGCAGGAATTTCAGGGTGTAGTGAGACAGTGTACAATGGCACAGAATACTGGCACTTCTTAAAAATAAATAATTGAAACATAACTTTTTGATTTAATCAAAAGTTTATTGGTTTCTTTTTTGTGACTTGTCAACCCTCCAGTCACTTCAGAGTACTGGCACACATTTGTTTATAGAAAAAAATATGAATTATATAAATAAGCAGAACCTTTATTCTATTATTACCTCTAGATTTTTAATCCATCAATGCTAACTTCTAAATAGTGTAAACCAGGCTGGGCAGACAAGCAAGTTCCTCCATTTGAAGAAAATCAGTCCAACAGTTCTGAGGTTTGCGATGATTAGCATAAAATTGCTTTTCCTTATTATCTTGAAAACTACAAGGCTTACAGAAAAACTGTTCTGGGCATAAAACGTGTTTCATTTTTTTGTGCTTTCTGGGTTTTCCCATATCTCTTGACAGACAGGGGTACACAGTGTTCACTGCTCTGATCATTTTATGCGATTAAAAATCTGTAGACAATTGTTCCTTATGTTTACTGCATTTAGCAGTTATTCCATACTGTTCCCTTCAAAGTTGTTTCCTGTGGCCTGATACAGCTAGTCCAGTGATTCTGATATTGTTGGAAGTTGGATGCATCTAAGAAAGTCCTGTATTTTCAGGTCCACTTTTTCTTTGATCCTGATGAGGTCAAATCTCTTCTCCATGAGTATGAATGTGAGTTTTGAAAAAGGAAGTAAATCACACTGCACCTTAGGAAGTATAGAATCATGTTTTTTAGATATAAATTCCTGTACAAGCAAAGCAGTGAAAGCATGACTGTGGTGTAGAAACTATTTCTCAGGATGTTTTGGCACACATCTTCCCGTAGGCGCCACAGAATATGTTGATTCACAACTGTGGGATTAACTCTTGATGCACAGTTTCTTAAGTGTCCAGAAACACTCAATTGGCTCTTAACATTGAAATGAGCTTATCTGGCCTTTGGGTGCAGTGACACTGAATTCTTCCATTGTGAAGACTTTTTTTTCAGAGTAATACCTTCAAATCCATTATTCTTTACCTATGATTATCTTAGGAAAAAAGTTGTTGATCTCTGAAGTGTTCCTAAATGTTCTGCACTTCTGCTTATCAGTCAGCAGATGAGATGAATTTGGTGGTAATTTGTTGCGTATTCATATTTTTCATCAGTATTTTACTGTGATCCAGATGAGATTCCTATCGCATTAGTCAACTTGTGGATAAGTTCCCTCATATATTATCTCACATTTCCATCTGTTTTGCTTATGGGTGGACATCCCAATTGGTCAGCAGAAGTCATTCCACTTTTCAGCTTCAGAAATCACTCAAATCTCTGAATTTGCTGATTCTATCCTTTTCAAAAACAAGTTTTACAGATTTCTGTAGCACATGGGCAACATGCAACCTGCCAGTGTATTTTGTGTGGCCTGCTCACATTAAGAATTGGGATGTCTCACTCGTAAACACCTGGAGGGATGTGACTTGCCACAACAGAAATCAAACCTGGTACTTTAAACCAGTGGTATTCAACCTGGGGTACGCGAAGACATCTTAGGGGGTGCGCGAAATTTAAAAAAAATTATATATATTATTTTATGATAAACACTGAATAATCAGTAATGTAATTTATTTAATTTATTTTAGATGTAGATTATATACTATGTATAACTTGAATTATAAACCAACAACTTTGGGGGTACAAATTTGAAGAGAAATTATATCTGGGGGTATGCGAACAAAAAAAGGTTGAATACCACTGCTCTAAACATTACACAGCGTCAAATATCTAAATAATGACTGTTGAAGAAAACTACTTATCAAAGTCTGAAACCAGAAGTGGTTTAAGCATACCTACTGTACTGATTTGTCTACCAGGGAATATGGAATGCCAAGCAACGTGTAGTCTTCACCTGTTTTGATGTGAGACTTGGTCACACATCTCTGAAATGTCATTAACATTATTTCATGTTTTTATTCAAATAAGGCACATATATTGGTGTCTTTGTGTAACAGACATCTGGTATAAATAATCATAATTATTGGTGGTACAGTTAAACCACATATGGGCAAATACAAGAATATTATGAATGACTGGTATTATGACACCAGCTGTGAACTTACACCAGTTCCAGTTTCAAACTTCAAAAATTTTTCACTGCTAGATTTGTTTCTCACTAATGTAATGTGTATCCCCTCTATAGTACTGTTTTTATAATCGATTATCAGTAAACCCTATTGTATATTAAAGTCTGAAAAACCGTTCTGGTATTTGGTGCAAGTTAAGCCTGTAATACAGATGGTTTGTCTACGTTTATTAGCCTACAATGTGGAACTATTGCTTTCAGAAATTTAAATTCCAAGCCTCTGAAACTTGACTGGGACAACTGTGCTGATGCCTTGTCGGATGAAGATAAACAGTTTCTTAATGATCATCCACAGTATGAAAATATTGTTGCAAAGATGAACCAAGTGGCTGAAGTGGCATCCATTTGCACGCACATGAGATATAAATCTGCCCATACGTCTGCTAAAATAATAGCAACAGCCGAACAGCAGGGAGTGGCTCTTAAGAAGAAAATAGTTAAATATGTAGAGTCATATTATATATGAGGGCTATGTAAGACCTTGGCTGAAACAAAAGGCTAGACTAATACTAAGCTCTTTTAACCTTCATCATATGGTGATAGGGAATTTAAACCCCTGTACTACAGACTGTTAACTCCAGGGTTAACTGTTTATCAGTATGCTACTTCAATGCACAGCAAGCTTGACCATGTGTAAGCCATGACACATGACTGATAAAGGCTGTCACTTGTTTGAGTGCATGCGTTGTATGCTTGAGTCTCTTAGAACATCCACGTTAATTGAACGGCTGTTAACTGTAATAAAACTATAAGTGACTTCAGATGTCTTTTTGGCAGTCTAAATATTCTAGCTTTGTACTTTACATATCTTGTGTTTCATACCATAAAATATTGGGAAGGTTGCATAGTTCATGTTAACAGATTCAGGAATGATTTGAGAGCAAATGCAGTAGGCCGGTGTTTTAAAGTTTTTGCAGGAAGATGTTTTGCAATGAATTGAGTGAAAAAGAACATCTTCTATGAAGTCATTTTGACAAACTAAGTGCTAATTGCTGCTGTGAGGCACACTGGGTAAGGGGTGATGATGCACATACAAAAATTAAGATGGAGGGGCAGTGTTATCTTTACTTACGTTTCTTCGAGTCTGGGTCTGTTATTTTACCTTTCAAACAATATAAACATTCAGTCGATATGTGATTTGGTTCTCATGGTGGTCAAGATGACAATGTTGGTCTTCTGGCTTGTAATGCCATACAGGTTTGTAGTTAGATATCGACAGTTCAGAGGAATGTGCCTCTTGTATATTCGCAAATCCACGTGGCATTACAACACATAAGACCAACAATGACATTCACAGCAGATCTTAGTAGCTGCAACTGTTTATGAAAGACAAGTAGGTAACATGCCATTGCATATGTTTATAGTTCACAAGAAATCTCCAGAATCTGTCAGTACATATTAGAAGAGGAGAGCAACAATGTTAAATTGCTAAGTTGACATATGTTAACCAGACAGTGTGAACATGAGGCTGTATGTGTGTGTGCATGGTACATACAGACATGTATTCCTGCTACATGAAAGAGTATCACTGTGAGGATAATTGTAACAAATAAGTAATTATTAACATTAACCCTTTAAAGATGCACAGAACACTGTAGTATTTTCCTAGGAGATATGTTTAAATGCCCTGTGCAGTTATCTACAGTAAATTAAATGTCTACTTTTGCATTTCTGTGCCTCTTTACTGATACATATTTCAATAATTTATTACAATACGGCAATGCAACAAAAACATTGTGAAGTTTTATGAAAATAGCTGTTATTTGTATAAATTCATTATTTTTATGCATGTTTTACTGTTTTAAAATGTAAAGAGGAATTAAAGCTATAATAGTTATAAAAAATACTATATACATTAAACACTTCAAATTGGCAATACCACACGACTCTGTAGAGTACAGTTTAGAGTTCATAGCACATTTAAAGATCATCATTCAGGCTGGACTTTCCAGCAATGCACTGTAGCCATTTTTACTTCTATCATGTCAATTTATTTGGAACATTTATCATCAATATATTCTGGTATGCCATCTGTACATTCAATATCATAGTCATTAGAGTACATTTTTCAGATTTGGAAATAAAACAGACAATTCAATCTTATTTATGCTAATGTTATATGAACATCTTGCCATGGTGCTATAAAGCAAAACTACTGTTTCTGAAATGCATCAAACCTAGGTCCATAATGTCCATTATCAATTCAGAGCTGTAGGCCTGACAAAAACATAGTACCTTACATAAAAGTGAACCCAGTTTGTGTATGATAGCCCATTCTTAGAAAATTATCTGCCTGAGTACATTAAGTCCCCACAACTGGATATTTATCCTCGTGTCATAGCAAAGTCTTACAATTTTACATACATACATTGCCAGTATGGGAAGGGAATTTAACATACACAGCACTAAAAGTAGTTAAATATGATTGCCAATGGAAAAGAGTAAATTATTTTAATATATTTCCTTAACACTGAATATGTGGGAGAGATTTTAATAAGTAAGAACCTGGTGAAATTAATGGCAGTATGCAGTGCAATGTTCAAGGATACCTACTATGCTTTCTTGACAGTCACTATGCCCTACGAATCCAATGGACTATAGCAAGAGACGACTGCAATGCAACAATCGGCCAGCATTCTAGATGCGTAAAGTGAAGCTTTCGCGGCGACTGAAGTTGATGAAAGACTCTTGGGCTACAAGCCATGTCAGGTGCCTGAATGGTGAATACACCATATGCTCTGCTGACGTTTTGAGAGCGTTGGCAGAGGATATGGTGTATTCACCATTCACCACCTGACGCGGCTTGTAGCCCGAGAGTCTTTAATCAATTCTAGATGCTCTTGTATTTTCTGAGATGAGCTTTATTTTCAGTGGCTAATGTGAAAAGAAACGACTGCTACTGCAGTGTAGAAAATCAACACAGATCATGATGTCAAGACAACTTTAAGTTTGTTGTATGTGCAGGGATCAATTTATAGCTGTCGCTCCGAGGCCATCAAAATATGGAGGTGCCTATCAATAACAACAAATTTTGGCTGTATAGCAATTAATTATAAATAAACACTAATCAAGTATAAATATCACATGATCATTTTCTGGTGATGATTACTTGTAAACTTTTTGCTGCAAAAAAAAAAGTTGTATTTTAAGGAGGCCCTGAGGCAATTGCCCCAGTTGCTCCCTGTTAAATCTGGCCCTGTGTTGGTGTATGTATCAAGATCCAAGACTTTATTAGAAGGGGATATTTAGCACACTACTGCTCGCACCTTCAAAATACACAACACAACTTACTTGTATTTAGCCCAAACTGTGGTTTAAGCACCTGATATCCTAAGGTTTCACATTATTTTTTCTCATTCCTCAGGTAAAATGCCTTGAAACAGAACTGTACAACTTCTCCCATTACAGTTTTCAACTCATAATTATCCTCTCATCTCACTTGCCATTAAATAAAATATAAATAAATACATATTAAATAATCCACAAATATGTACACATATACTTTACAATGTTTCCTTCATAATATATCAACAATGTGATATGGAAAAGATAAACACATACATAGTGAGATTTGAGGTTCTCATGGTGATAAGAATGAAAATCACCATCTTCTGGGATGATGCATCATGTAGCCTGGTAGAGAGTGACTGATGTTTTAGAGAAGCTTACTGCCTCCATCATGACAGTGGTGAATTAGCACCCTGTCATTGTTGGTCTTCTGGGGTGTAATGCCACAGACATTTTCTCCAAAATGTTGGTATATGCCTGCAAGTCCACATAGTGTTGCAACCAAGATCAACATCTTCAACACCATGAGTACCTCAGATCTCATACACTTATCACCCAATAATGGAGGCAGTATGCTCCCTTCAAATATTGGTCTATGTCTACCAGACTATATGGTGCAACATCCCAAAAGACAGCTATTAAAATTTCAAGAAATAAATCCCACAAAAATAATGTAACTTCTGTGGATTCCTAAATCAGAAAATCATCCATTATATAGTTAATAGTTTCATTTCATACCAGTAATATTTAAGTGACTATGCTGCATTATCATCAAGAAGTCAGGTCGGGATTCTGTAATAATTTATGATAACACCCTTGTGAATCACGAAGAGCCAGCACACTGACCTCTGGTTGAGAAACCCTGTACTACATAACAATGTAGTAGTACTACTGAAACGAAAAGTCACTCCATGAAGAAATTCTTTTGGTTTACAATTGAAATCATGCACACAAAATGAGGGTAAAATAATCTATGGTATGACATCATGCTGACATAGTAAAGAAGGAAAACAACTTTTTTTACTGCATCTTAAGAAATAATGTACATTCCTTTGAGAATTTTAAAATTTTGGTACCATATCAAAAAAACCTTTTTGTGGCAACTGTTCAAGATCTTAAGTTGCACCAATACTTGTATGGTAACCATGCATACCATATTATATTACACTGAAAAACAACACTTTTATGCTGCATAACAGTCATGTCACTAACTTTGCATTACATTTCATTCTCCATAATTAATTTTGTTTAATGCCACGACTGAAACAATTATTCTTAGAAAATATGTCTGATATTATGTTCTTCAGGAACAATAAAAACAGTTGGTACATTATCCTGGCTCACTGTGCCAGTAAATTAATCCACACACTACAAATTGGCACTTTATACAGGATAATTCTTAATTACATGCAGTAAATATAATGATTATGTTCTATTCCTGAAGTAAGCAAACACATTCTTATAAACATATGGTTGCAACCATTTTGTTAGTGAGATATGGCAATAATTAATGTATGGGTGGTAATAACTGGTTATTTCTTGGAACCTTATGAGCTATGGCCTCGACACTTCGGGGAATGCTACTTACATTTTTAACACAATTACCTCAAGTACTGAAGGCTGTACAATTACCAACACAACAAAATATGTGGTTTATGCATAACTGAGCTCCTGCAGCCTCTGCAATCATATGATGTCACACCTGCCAACTTCATGGAGCATAGTTCACTCAAAATGAGTCAACACACAGGATGAGCTTTGGCATTTTATTACAGGGACTGTCTGGAATTTTTCAGTGTGTCAGATATTCTTGGCATCACAGGCCTCAGTTACACATTGAAACCAATTCACGGCATTTTCATCAACTTTTGTAAAAAGTGAGATGGTGTTACCTTGAAATTTAATAAGTAAACAATCCTAAAATACAACATACCCTTCTCTAATCTGACAATTGTGGCAATATATTTATAGGAATTCTCTGGCTTGATTTCAGGAGCAGAACACAATCTGCATATAATAAAGAATAACCCTGTATATTTCATCAACTTGAACTTTGCTTAAAGCATATCTTTTGGCAAATGCTCTGTATCGTTTTGCTGTTTGACTGCCATTCAATTTTGCTACACTCTTTGCTACTCATTTAAATAATGATAAATAAGATAAAAATCATAGCACCATGTTATAGACATACAAAATTGGATATAACTGTCATATAAATATATCACTTTAATGCAATTTTACAAACGCAACTATTATTTTCAAAAAACAAATGTGGAAAGATTTTCAGACAATCATCCCATCCAATTTCTGTAATATGTACTTAGAAACAGTTTGGTTTTAAACAGGTTTGGAATTCTAAAAACACCAGTAAACCTAATTGCCTAAGTACATTCAGCAACAATCATCTAGGTCCTAGATGAAAACTTCGTTTTCTATGTGACTTTCTCTCCCTTAGTGCAAGGTACTCTTTTCTTCTAACACTAGATCGAAGCTCTAGAATGTGGTTTATCTTCTGCACAATTTCCTCTGCAGTTCGGTGATCTGCTTCAAAATCGTGGTGCTTGTAACTGGAAAAATCAGAATGATGCTGCAACGATTCAGCTTGTTCTCCTGAAGCTGGATGGTGGTAAACAAGCCGGAACGTAGAACGACTGCTAGATTTGGTATCTGTGAGATCACAAGCTGCTATGCTATCCATGTCATAACTAACAGCTTTTTGACGGTTCCAAAACTTGGCACTTACCTTCTGCTGCATAACAGGATCAATTTCAACTTTTTCGCCAGACACACCTGCAACATTAAATACAAGTAGATACTACTGGCCTGTTGATGACTGTCAACCATCTTCATTAATTTTCCAAGTATTTTTTATCAAGAATGTGACTTAACACAGGCAGTTGAACACCTTACAGTCTTCATATGCCATTCAAACTAAGATTAATCTCATTTCTTCCTTTAATGTTTGCTAACCTGTTTTGGCACCATACAATCCTTCCCTTCTACAATATATCCAGTCCACTAAACTGCAAACTGTAAAAGAGCTCCTAACATCTCTTACCTTACCTCCCCTACATCATCAGTTCAAATTCTCTCATAGCTGACAAACCTGCCTTTGCATTGTCCTCCATATTCTTACAAGATTTGATAAAATATTTTTTGGATTGAATAAAAGATGGCATATGACAGTACAGAATTTACTCCCAGATGATGCTAGAATACAAACATGAGCGTATAATGCTCCCACATTGTAGCATTCATAAACTCACTTGGACATCTCCTGATGCAAAGACACACAAGCAGAATGACCATAGACAGGAAACGGCATTCAATTGTATTTGATGTCTGATATCTCAGGGGAGCAGACTGTGATACTGATCTGGTGGTAGTAAAGTTTGGGAGAGACTGCCAGTAAGTAAATGAGCAACAAAAGTCTGATATAAAGAGATTCAATATCAAGAAACTAAATGAGGTAGAAGGTAAAGAACAATATCAGGTTCAAATCTTGAACAGGTTTGCAACTCTGGAAAATGTATATGATGATGTGGATATCAACAGAGCTTGGGAAACCATTAGATTAATTACCAAAATGTCAGCAAATGAGTCTAGGTTATTAATAATTGAAGCAGCATAAGCCATGGTTTGACAAAGGATGTTTAAAACAATTAGATCAAAGGAACCAAGCCAAATAAACACAGATAATCTGAACAACATATGAGTCGGGATAGCTCAGTCAGTATAGCGACTAGCTACAGGCTGGATGACCGGGGTTAAATCCCCGACGGGGACAGAGGATTTTTCCTCTAACCTCTGCGTCTAGACCGGCTCTGGGGCCCACCCAGCCTCCTCTACAATGGGTACCGATCTGAACAACATATGATGAGAAGCTAGTAGACATTTCATGAACAAACAGAAAGAATATCTGAAAGACAAAATTAATGAGTTTACAACACATCAGAGACTTATACAGAGGTATAAATGAATTTAAGAAGGGTTGCCAACCTAGAAGTAACTTGATAAAGGATGAGAACAGTGATCTACTGGCAGATTCCCATAACATTTTGAATAGGTGGAAAAATTACTTCTCTCAGCTATTAAATGTACGTACGGTTAGTGATGTTAGGAAGATGGAAATACATAAAGCTGAGCCTAGTCCTTTTGAGATTGAAATTGCTATTTCAAAGCTGAAAAGATATAAACTGCAAGGTAGTGATCAAATTCCAGCAGAACTGATTCAAGCAGGAGGTGAAGCATTATACTCTGAGATCCATAACTCCTTGATTCTATTTGGAATAAGGCAGTCAAAGCAACTTGAGAATTACTGGACAGATTTGGATATTTGGTATGGAAGTTGTGCCATTCTTCACAACCTCAAAATCATGCTTTTGGACATCCTACAAGTGGTGATAACAAATGAGAGATAAGGAAAGTCATGTGGTGGACACTGAAGTGTTGCAAGCTGGTGGTCATTGTGGGTATTTGTTTGTTTTCAATGGTTACCATTTGCAACCACTTACATGTTCTTTGAATGCTTACTGTAGTTACTATGGAAATTGTGGTTCATACCAATGTAAGTGGGAATCAGCTGATGTTCATGAAAGTTAAATCGTTTTTATTTGTTGGGACAGGTTAGATTAGAACAGGTTACAACATGTTAATTTTAGTTATGTTACATTAGATTAAGTTAAGTCAGGTCTCTTAGGTTAGGTAAGACATGTTATGGTAAGTTAGGTTTGTGTAGTTTCTGTTAAGGAAGTTTAGGTCAGGATGTTTAAATATGAATTTTAATTGCTAAAATTTTGAATGTGGGATTTTGAAATTTCAAAAAAGTCTGAAAATTTTGGGTGTTCACAAATTTTGAAAATTTACAATATTTAGAAACTGTTAAATGTTCAAAATTTGTAAATTTATTTCATGGGCCAAAGCGAATGTAACACCTCTAAATGCACACTGCAAAGACCACATGAGGATAATATGTGTATTTCGGTACAGAATACACTTTCTGGGCTTATTAATCATCATCATGGCAGAACAGTATCTTTTGCAGTGGTCTAAGATGTAGGTAATCTTGAAAGTTTGCATGGCAGAGCAACAGGGTGAGATTTATTTTTGAGTGTGTATGAAACCATGAAAGAGCCTAAACCTCTGGATCAAACTAAAGGGGTGACAACAGAGAGGGCGCCAAGTATCATCGGAAATAAAGAGGTTTGATTGGTAGAATTATGCAAGTACTGAACAGACAAAATCCCAAATTTTATGTGGAACTTCACTGCATCACCCACCATATATCACACTGTGGAAAAACCTTGAAGTCTGCACATATTACAAAAGTTGTGGTGTTGACTGTGAATTTCATTTGATCTCATCTCATTGTGAGTCTCAATATTTTTTGTTAGAAAATATGCTGAATATATGATCACCTTGTACCATACAGAAGTATAATGGCTGAGTCATGGGACAGTGTTAAACATTTTTAGCTTTGAAGCTAGAAACAGCAATGTTCATGAAAAAGGCAAGGTTGTAGCTAAACATAGTGATGAAACGTGGCTTTGGAATTTGATGTTGGTATGTGATATTGGCAACTACATAAATGAATTAAATACCAAACTGAAATGTTAACAGACACTCATATCCAGCATATTTGGAGTTGTTAGAGCTGCAACTATTCTGGAAACAGTTGAAAAATGTTAACATGTGTCATTTTTCTTCCTGTGATTTACTTCATAAGGATGGATCAGTAAGTGTTTCTTTTCAAAGTGTCCAGGCTGTAAAAATTATACATTCATTGGCTAAAAATTTTAAAATGAGATTCAATGACCTTCACAAGAATGCTACAAATATACATATCTTTGAAATCACATTCTCCACTTAAGTCAGTGATGCTTTCAGCTTGAACTGACTCAACAGCAGTACGAATACATTTTGCACAGATGTTTCAACTAGGAAGCTTTCTCTATTCTCTGAGTTACATAAGTTAGCAGAAAATTTGGCAAGTGTATTTGGTAGCACATATATGTACACTTACATGATGTGATGTGAATTGGCATTTCAAAAATGTAACCAAATTATAATTATAATAAATTCTTCTCACACTAATTCTCTTGCGGAACAAATGCAGGCCCATGTTTCACGCGAATAAGGTTAAGTTTATGCTATTTTTATTGTAATGTTCAGTTTTGTGTTGGTTATGGTAGATATATTTAAATGGACCTGTCCTCATAGCACATTATATCTTTTGATGTGGCTCACCCACATAAATGTTTGAGCACCCCCGGTGTAAATTATGGTCATGTGCAGTGTTGGCTATGATTTTTATTTGTAAAAAATATCATATTTTAAAGAAGAGTGCATGTGCCTCAAAGTCTGTTTGAAACTCTTGGTAAAACAGCCACATTCAAACTTGCTTTTAAAGAGGAAACATTAAGCACATATTGAACACCTGCACAGGTTTTGAATTTTAAATACATAATTACTACAGTAATTTGTTAATAACACCTCATATTTTTATCTATACTCCTTCCACATGCCCTCTAAAATGTAATGCCTCTCACAACTTGAATATGTAACTCCTATTCTGAAGAAAAACTCAGTTAAAGTGCCCGTGCAATCCATCATTCTACAATGAATGTAAAACAACTTACCTAAGTGTATTTCAGTTTTAGCCCTCACTTTGTTAATGATGTAGACACGATATGACTGATATAAAGGTGCCTCCATTGCAATCATATGACCCTGCATGCGGATTAAGTCTTCAAGGTCCTGTTGCTGGGCTGCACACAAAATACAGTATCAAAGAAACAGAAAAAGTATTCCTTACAAAAGCAGAGAAACAAGTTTTAAAGATGGCTAAGATTGTATCGTAGTATTGGAGGAAAAGGTAATTCAGACAATTATGCAACAGAATACTTCATGCAGTTCAAACAATAGGAATGTGAAAGAAAATTAAGAAAACCATTGTCAGTGTATTTAAAGGAATATAAACATCTCAAATATTAAGTGAACAGAAAAATGTTTCACACAGAACTTATGTTTGTCGGATGTTATATTTTCTATACTAAACATAAAACACTAAGAAAATTAAAGTCCAAATATGTTAAACTTACATTTTGGCTTCAATAAGGTCTCCTGCGAAAGTATTACCTCAGTCTCCTCTCTGAAAAAGAGGAAGAAAACATATGAGGCACACAATTCCTAAAGCATTCTCACACTAACTAATATTTATTAACATAAGTACAATACAGGTAAACCGCTTTTGAAACCAGCAAGTCAAAAAGTGTTACAATGTTTCTCGTACTGATTCTTATACTAAATCGTAATTCTTACATCGCTGATTTTTAATAAAAATTATAAATACATTCACCTCTGCACTCACTGCTAAATAGTTGAGAGATAATCTCCTAAAAATCCACCAACACTGCGCAATAGCCACGTGAGCATTGGTCACTCTTCATGGCGAGTCATTTGCGTTCAGCCTGATAAGGGAGTAAGGAAAAATGCACTCAGTTCGCTTCTTGTTGACATATTGAATGTGCTGAAAACTGTGTGCTAAATGTGTTTGTGTTGTTGTTTGACCACTAATCTGAAGTAGCAACTGTTTTATATTTATAAATTGTAGAAGAACCACCATGTCTGGTAAGAGAAGTGAAAGTGTTGCTAAAAAGTTGCGTAGGTCTATTGTGTTGGAAGATAAGATGGACGTAATTCGTAGAAGAGAAGGTGGTGATACCTGTCGTAATGTGTGCAGAAGTATGAAGTTGCCTCCCTCCACTGTGACTACCATAATGGAAAATTCATATAAAATAAAACAGTCAATGCAACAGGCTACGAGAGTTATAGCAGAAGTAAACTTTTAGAAAGAATGGAGAAATTACTGTTGCTATGGGTGGATGACATGAATCATAAAAACATTCCCTTGACTGAAATTGCTATCACAGATAAGGCGAAGTCAATTTTTGAGGAACTTAAGTCGTCAATGTTTGGGTGCCGGGAACGCATGTCATTGACTTCTCATTGATTTACATTATAAAAAGAGTTTTAATTTATGCTGGTTCGTCCAGGAACGCATCACCGGTGTAAATCGAGGTTTACCTGTATTGGTAATACTATTCTAAACTGGATATGTATGAAACAAATGTTTATCTATACATACCTTGCTATAAGTTTCACTAAAACATACTTTAAATAACCTAACTAATTTCATTGGTATACTGAATTAAATATGAATGTTGTACAGTACTTCCCTCCTAACTGAATCATAGGCTTTTTTGAAGTCTTTAAGTTGCTGATGTACAACTCCACTGTGCTAACACTTTTCTCCAGTATTTCATAGATGTAGCAGTTGATATTTCAAATTTTTCAGAATTTTAACAAGTAGGAAGACAGATGGACAAAACATTCCGTATACGCCTTCACTTCATGCAAAGACTTATAAAAATATATTACCTCTCCACTGATTTTGAATCTTCATCCTTCTTCTGACATTCCACTAAAGCCAAATAGTTAAATCCAAATTTCCCAACTGTTTCACGGGGATCTAAACATGGGAAGTCCCAGTCTACTTCACCATCATCTTCAGCAATATACAGTCCATAATGGTCAACACTATCCCTGAAAAGAGAAAGTACAGTACTTAGTTTCACAACACATCCAGGAATATTGAAAATGTAATTGTATAATGATGGTGACCATAGGAAACAAAATAGCTTACACATTTCAGAATGTTAATGAGGCCAAATCTGATTTGAAAGAAACAATGACTGATTACACAGCATGTTAAAGCTGAAAATGTTACAGTTGTCCTGCATTTCTTTCATTCTGAATTTATTCACATACTGAAGATGGAAATTTTAACCTCACTTGTCTGATCTCAAATTTTTAGAATGTAATTACTTCTGCTATAAAAATCCATCAATATTCCCCCACAATTTAAAATCAGCAGTAATTTAACAAAAATCAGTCATCTATCAAATACAACAATAATAACTCTAACATTTCACCTGCACTGTCTGTTTATTACATTATAATTTGCCTGCTTTCATTGATACTTCAGAATTAACTAGGACTAGAACATTCTTCTATGAAAACATTGACTGCATTATATTTTCCATCAAGATATATCTATGGCCTGATAATATGTTGATGATGAGATATCTAGCAAAGTAAAATTATATTCATGTATGAATAAAACTGGATATAATGACCAAAAATGTAACATACATAAACAGTTAAATCTCATGCAATCACTAGTTTCCAATCACACTTGAAGACTTCTACTGGCAAAAATGTATAACTAATAGATAGTTCAAGTTAGGAGGAGAACAGCACTACTAGTAAATCTCAAGTCATCACAAAGCTAAAGTACATTTCAAACTGAATATTACAGATTTGCAAAAAAAGGCAAATTATTTAAAAAGTGTAAAATTATTGTTTTATCACACAGCACATAAGAAATAAAAATGCTTCAAACTTCCTTCCTTAAACTTACCAGTTTGTTCATGTTTAGTTCAGCACAAGGGACAACTATAACTTTCATACTCTTTAACACTTTTCAAGATATTACTTTACATCACTTCCAATTCCAACAGCAACAGAGAAAAAAATGCTTTATTTCTAATTACACATTTTTATTGTTTGATAAACTGATGAAGTTCATGACCAAGTTCTTGCTGATTAGATAAATTTCACACAAGAATAAAAACTTAACTTTAAGTAATTTAGTAAATAAAATGAAAGTAATAATATTTGGAATATTAATGAGCAATTCAAGTTTCATGTTCCTGTAATCACTGTTTATAAATGCAGTTAATTTGTAGATGCAGTAGCTGCTGTATGCACTAAATTTCCACATGAGGGATTACCTCCACTTTACTACTACCCCCCTCCCCCCCCCACCCCAATACCATGGAAGATATAAAACAAAAATTACCAGTTACTGAAAAAGTCAGGTATCTTTCAGTACAGTTAACATTAGTTCATTTTACTTCACAATGTTTTTGGTTTTTCAGATCAGTTTAGGTTAGATTAGTCCAATTTAGATTGGCTACTAACATTTTTGTACTTAAAAAGTATACATACCATGTGCATCTTTTAGGATCTCATACATTCCTTGTTATTTTCAAATAATCTTTTGCCAGTTTCAGACCATGTTTGCATTTTTAAACATGTTGCAGGCACTGTTAATTGTATACATATCTGATAACAAATTTAACTTAATCCATTCTGTATAAAATTTACTACTAGGATTCCAAAGTGGGCAGAGCAGGTAGTATAGCAAGGGAAAGGGAAGTTACCACATCTGGAATTTAATAGTAAATTCTCCTTTAAAGAGCGAGATGAAAACAGAATATAGGAATGTAACTTTTCCTTGGACCTATTTATCAGCAAGTCTGCAAACACCACCTTGAAAAAAATACCAGGCAGTTAATTTACTTTCTCAAAAGATGATGTAAGTTAATATAATAAAACTTGTTTAATGACTCACTTAAGTTTATGTTGTCCATGTTCTAAAGTATACTTCCAACAAATTAATCCAATAAGATCTTGCACTTTTGCTTGAGCTAAGACAACAACATGCATAGGATAATTCCTTTCCGCTGTCTCCAACATGGTAAGGAAAATACCGTACTTCCTTGTCGAAACCCCCATCTGAGCCTTAAATAAATAATGTACAAAACAGAACTGTAGAGATAAGTAGACAAAATTTCACTTTTATTCATGTATCTTATTTATGTGACAGAGTAAAATTCTATGTTTCAATTTTTAAATAGTTCACCAAAATATTATCTGCAATACAGACAGTAGGAAAATATAATAATATAAGGTACAAGGTAAACATAAAAAATCAGAGTGGTTTCAAATGCTTAAACACTAAACAGAAATAAAATTTACACCACTGGAAGTAGTACTTAAAAAAATAGTGTTACATGGCCAATAGAGTGCAAATATTGGCATGGCAGAAAAACAGAAAATCAACTGGAGAAAGGAAATTGAACTTGCACATGGAGGATTCTTACTAAACTTCCCCTGAAAACCTTGTTACCAGTGGTCATAGATTTTGTAGAATGGAACACACAAAATGCATTCTCACAGTGATTTACCATTTTATTGCAGTCACAGTTGCACTTCTAGTGGCCACCATTGGAATTTTGTCGCTTTTCTCATGTGCTACAAAAATGTTTTCAAAGTTCTCTTTTCAGTGCTGTAAGTCTCATTTTGTATGCCATTTAGTTTTTGTTAAATAAATATCTCAAACCACTCATACCATCTGTGTTCACTCTGTATAAATATATTTATAAACATTAAAACATTATATTTCATGTACACAAGATTCTGAAAGCTCACACAAATCCTGCGTATTAATGTTAGATACCAGCAGTCTGCTGATGTTTAGAATCTTGTGTACATGAAATATAATGCTAAAAAAATTACAAGAAGATAAATTCAGAAGGGACTCACTTTCAAATTTGCTATAAATGACTTCACACTCATAAATAGCTTCTTATGTTCCCACTTTTGAGCACAACAGTATTTTGTTTTTGTTTTTGGAAAATTAAGACATGATAGTAAATTTATCAGCAGGGTTATATTTAGATCACATATGCCCAAAAAACTACAGCACTCATTAACATTTCCTAGGAATATAAGACTTGGAGCAACAAACAAATTTTTGGTTACAATAGTGTGTGTGCACATGCATACATACACATACATCACACACACATGAAACACGTAACCAATGGTATCTCAATTTTAAAATGTATTAATTCCACTAAAGAATAAAATCTACACCTTGGACTGTACAACATATAATATTACCTATCAATTCTATGTTATCACCTCACAGAACTGCCCTTCCATATCATTTCAAATCAAGCCTACAGCATATGGTACAAGCACTGCTAAATTGGAAGAAAAGATCAGTTTTCCCAAAAGAATGAACTGACTGTGTATATAAACCAGAGAAAATTAAACATTTTAGATTGCAGAACCCATCCATAACTTCATCCAAGAACACAGACTCCTATCTTATACACATAAGAAGACTTTTATTCAATGATGGAATTAAGGTTGATGGATGGCCATATTATGATTATTATGATCTGAAACTAAAATACTGCTGAATTAAAACATCCAGTTGTTCACCTCAAACAGAATTCATCCTGATGAATAATGAAAATCTTTTGTGAATTACTACATTAAAAACTATGACAAATTTCATACAAACAGCATTACAAGTAGATCAAAAAGCATTTTCACATGTAATTCTTATTTTGGTACAGTACTGTAAAGCACAATTTGGAAACCACTGTTATACAACATAAGCTGCCACTATTCCAGAGGACGTAATTACAAAAACAATAAACTGATATTTGAGGTTGTCATGGTGACCTTTGTCCCAAAGTTGTATTCTGGGATAGCACCCTGACACGGAATAAAATACTACCAACATTTTAAAATCTGAGCAGGAATAAAAATACTACCAGAATTTCAGATGAATGTAATGCCTCCTCCTTCAGTGTCTGTCAAGGAATAAAAATATTACTAACATTGTGGATGAACACTGATAGTGTTTTATTCATTGATACAATGATATACCCTTTAGATAACTTGATGCTAAAGATTCTTAATTAATTGCCCTGACTTCTTCTATGGATATATTGCAGTGTGAAACCACAAAATTATAACTACTGACACTGATCACTAAATGAATGCCCAAAATAAGACAAACATCATATGAATGAAAACAAGAAATGGAATCTTAAAGTACTTATATAAACTTCTTAAATATATTGTTCTTACATTTCCATCATATTTTGCATATTCCACAAAAGGATTCTGTGGTAAATTTGGACATTTCTCCATCTGTTCAGATAGGAGGGAAAGCTTCTTTACATGTACATCCTTTCTATTTTGCCTAAAATTCTTCCTTTCAAAAAGTCCAGCTCTTTCTTCATCTGAAAAAACAGTTCAGCAAACATATGGTATCATCCAATACAATGTCTTGCATGTATCACAGAAGCATGAACAATTTAACACAGTAGGAAATTATCTACTAGTTTATTTGTTTTGGTTTCTTGGTCTAGGTAATTAACTTTTCATGTGCCACTGTAACAATCAATCTAGTTTTATTTTCATACCCAGTTTATTTACCTGCATTGGATCATTAATTTATGCAATTGTATCACAATAAATTTTGAATTCAAAGATTCATCATCAGGTGTACACTGGCATATTTAAACTTATCTTGGTAAAAAGAAGTTGTTAAGATGTACTGAAATGGAATACACGTTTTCCAAATGCATTCCTGTTGCAGCTTTCCATACTTCACTGACCTTGGTGTTTACATACTGTAGATACAAATTCCCTGTTGCAAAGCTAATTAAACTCTGCATTAATCAAATTGCACAGTCAGAAACTGTTTCCTTAAGAATTCACTTCATTAAAAAAATATTTATTAAGTTGCAGAGCTTCATCACATCCACATTTTATCTAATGAACTAATCCCTTTTAGGCCTACAATTAACTGGTTTATAAAAATATTAAAAAGTTCAATTTGGGACTTATGTAGAGACTCACATGTATCAAATTACATATGCCCTACAACTATCAGTACAGAAGTAAAAAATACAGATGAGCAAACACAGGCTCCTTATTTACATATTAACTTTATGTATTTTGTGCAAAGAACATGTAAAAATACACAAATACATAAGTACCATACACTTAAGATAAATTTCTCCATTAGATTAAACATTGCTACTTTAACATCACTTCAACAATGTACTTGCTAACGTGCAGAGCTGACAAGAGGTGGTACGAGTAAGGAAAGATTGCTACCCTGGGGCCTGCTCTATAATTTGATATAATATTTCACTATTTCAGCAGATTAAGGACAAAAAACCCTTCTGACATCATTAAATCTGTCCAATTCATATTATCCAAATTCACAGAATAAATTATTAATATAACTGTTCAAACTGGCCACCACATCCTTTTTTTTAAATAATTCTCCACTCATTAGTAAACAAAAGACAAGGAATGAGCTGACCATCCTGATTGATCCAGTTGCAGAATTCAATTTCATGCACAGTAATCTTCAGGCTAAAGTGCTCAGACAATCTGCTGGTAAAATGGATAATAACCAATTGGTTAAGAGTTCTCCATACCCTTATTTGTGGCACGTGGGTTTGCTGAGGTACTATATGATAAAAATCGTATAAATACTGGTAGATGGACTCATCAGCTGTTTGCTATATTGGGCACACAATCAAAGGTAAATTTACCATTTTCTTGTAAATACTTCTGGACACACAAAAGCAGTCACCAAACGAGTGTTTGCAAATTTGAAAATTGCCTCTTGTACCCTCAAAGAGCTGCTGCTGTTGCACTTCCATCATAAAAATTCATATCTCTTTGTCAAAATATGTGTAAAAGCAAAAAGTAAAGCAGTCCCATTACACGCCATGTAGGTTACTCCTACATATTCTTGACCTCGACACTAGATAGACGTGAGTGGTGAGCATCCCACCCTGGCCACGCTTTACCCCTGGGAAAGGAACCCAGTACCCATTGGATAGGACCCAGAGCCAGGCTGGATGCAGAGGCTAGAGGAAAATCCTCCATGCCGGTTTGGGATCGAACCCCAGTCATCTGGCCCATAGCTAGTCATTATACTGACTGAGCTATATGTGTACATTTTGAAAATATCATTGGCACAATAACACATGAAATGCCACATTATTCTAGTTATGCAACAAGTGAAAGTGTGCCAAGGCATCAGAATTGTCACCAAATGTGTGCTCCATGTTAGCTTCCCACATTTAGAAATCATTTAATTAACAACTTCAAATGTACATAACTCCTTCAATAGTAAGAATAGCAAAAATGACTACTCTTTATATTCAACTTGAAATTATGTCTCCTGAAAGCAGATGAAGTATTAAATTTATGTCATGGAATACCTTGTACGAGGCGCGTCCACAAAGTAAGTTTCCCACTCGTCCCACAGCTAGCAAACCTTATATTGAGCGAAGCGACTGTGCGTACGTGATAGAGCAATGACGTAGCATGGCGCATGCACTAACGGCACCTCCCGCGTTCTCACAGTAGCATCGTTGCAGCTGTTGAAGATGGAGGTTCTTATTCCAGCTCCCGCCGACTGTGAAGTGCGGTCAGTGATAACGCTAGGCCGCACACGGCTCGACAGACAGCAAGTCTCCTGCAGGAGTTCAGCTGGGAGGTGTTTAATCATCCACCCTACAGCCCGGACCTCGCTCCCAGTGATTTCCATCTTTTCCTACACCTCAAGAAATTCCTGTCCGGTCAGCGTCAGCGTTTTGAGAATGACAGAGAGGCGGAGATGGCTGTCACACAGTGGTTCCAATCCCAGGCGGCAGACTTCTACGACACAGGTATTCAAAAGTTGGTCCCACGGTATGACCAATGTCTCAATTCCGGTGGCGAATATGTTGAAAAATAGCTGGACACTTGCTGTATCTGTTGCAATAAATATTTCCATGAAATTGTGTTTTGTTTCTGTAAACGGCCCCAGGGAAACTTACTTTGTGGACGAGCCTCGTATATTCATGGATTTGTACTTGTAGATATAAACAGAAGCCACAATGTGTTCTCAGTTATGAAACATTCAATGGAAGTATGATGCCAGCCAAAGTTCACTGGCACACACAAACTACCAAGAACACAACTTAAAATGTTAATAGCTTTGTTACAGAAATAAATTTTGGGTACTTGTGTGTTATCAGTACACAAAACGGGAGAGTCGAATATCTGGACTTGAACTGGACGGAAAACTGTGCATGTGTACAAATGATAACGGCAATATTTTTAAAACAATTCTAAAATCTATAAGCGAATTTTGGCCTCCGGAGACAGGTTGTAACAACAATTAACATCTCATGCATATCCAAATAAAATATAATAATTTGTCATTTATTGAAATAAAATATAATAACTTTCAAGTATATGTCATTTATCCACACACATTAACCTAACCTAACCTATTTTTAAAGCAATCCAAGTCCAGATATTCGACTCTCCCGTTTTGTGTCCCAATAACCAACAAGTGCCAAATTTTGTAAACAGAAATTGCATATCTTCTAAATATGGTTAAAAGCAACCAAAAATTTGAGAGTGGATATTTTTAATACATTAAACACTCAACTTAACATTGTGAATTTAACGGACACTGTCTGCTATTGCCAAATTTTCTTCTGGATGCTGCATTAGCAGACATTTTCAATTTTAATGGTTGAAGTTTGTCAAAACCAAAAATGTCCATGAATGACTGCTGAATAGTTTCACACTTAATTATATCTTTTTATTCTGTAGCATTGGTTGTGTTTACTGCATTTATAGTTTCTGCATTTATTTATTTTCAATTTATTCTTAATTTTTATCTGTAGGATTTATCTTAGCACTGGTGGCTGTATTTTGCTTAATCAGAAAGCACTTTGGACCAATCTTTACCAGGTTAAGAATTAAAAGTTATTAACTTTAATATTGATATTCATTGTCATTGTATTGAGTATGTACTACTATACTGCCATAAAATATATCCAACACAATAAACCCTCAGTTTAACACACTAATGGGCGGGAAGGGGTGCCTGGTAATGCTGATCCCACATTAAATCACACATTTATTTTTATGATGCCCATGATGCATCCTTAGACCATAATTCCCATTAGGAACACCATTGTACAGATCAGTAATAGGAACTGGACACCTAAAATGACAGAATATCTCAAGCTCAATTCTGGACAGTGGATTAGAAAATGAATGCAATAAAACTGTAAGCTGCTCAACTAAGTAACAACTAAATAAAAAATGAGCAAATAATTACTCAAACATGGCAGACCTGATCATTCCCTTTCCTTGACTGCAATTAAATCATATTACTGTATCAATTTAATGAATAAGTAAAATTTCAGTCATGACAAAATACAGCTCATGGATTTGTTGAAAATTTGCAAGTGTTCAAAAACCTTTGCCTCTCATAATACGACCGTGTTTCTTGGATATTTGATGTGATAAATAAATTAACAACATTACCTGTTAAAACAACTGGATTCCATTCCCATTTTACATGTTTAATCCTATTAGTTTTCTTACGGTCTTGATCCATTTTCTCAAGACGCTGAGCAGTACTAGAACGTTGTCGATGAATACCAAAATCTATATCTGAAATGTACACAGAGAAACGTGAATTAATATCCTATAATATAACATGACTGTAAAGACGTGAGAAGCACCGTCAGCATATTTATCGCCACCTAAAATCCTTACCAGACTGTATATCAAATGACTGTCCCATAACATCCATTTCGCCGTCTTCTTCGTCACTCTCATCTACTCCTGGATAATAATCAAGCTTTGTCATACTGATCAGCTTGCGTGGTATATCTTCACCTGCCATTACCATTTCACACATACCTAGCAAAAATGTAAGACATTAGTCACAAACCCCCTAAATGGCAAATTATGACCCATATGAATGCTGATTCGAAACGTTCAAATACATGAAGCACCTGTATCATCCGAAGATATGAAAGAGTTCCGAATATGTGACAAAAGCCAGTGCTTGTTATCGTACAGTGCCATGCTACTTCATTAACTGACACGACATAAATCTTCCTAAGCGGTCTCTTGTGAACCTTCAGCTTCCACAACAGTTGGGGTATTTCTTGACTCGCTGAACGATTATCATCTTCTCAAGTAGAATTCTCCTCCACGGAGTTAATTAAATCTTCCTAACCTCACCGACCTCTTGAAACGGTAATGGTACATCAATGTATCACAATGTCAAATATCGACAAACGAGCGAACACTATCGATAATCACGTTGGCCGAAATGAAGAACCAAAAGTTGTAATTGAGAAGGTTGGTAATAAATACCACGGAAGAAAGGTAACGCCATTAGGATTTTATTTGGATGACCACAGTAGTACCGTATGACAGTATGTGACCAGAATGTTTTATTTTATGGGTTGAAACAATGAAGTTTTGTACCGGCCCTTAGCTTACAGTTTTAATAACTCAGGAAGGAAGAGACGTTCCTTCAAAATTTTTGTCACCACCTGTGCAGGCGTTTCACAACCAAAATCGAGTTGTACTCTGCGCTCATTGATACCATAGATGATATTAGGTATCTGAACTACAAGGATTTGTTTTCTGATGAAAACGCCAACCCATACGAAATTACGACAGCTCCGTGATGAAGAATTAAAGACCAGATGCGGCGGTTGTGTTTGGTTGGACAATAATTTCACTGCATTTCTGCCAGGTTTACCGACGTTTCAGAGGTCCTTGTTGCTTCCATCATCAGGACAATTACCAGACTACGGCGCAACAACATAAGAGACAGTCATCTTCAGACTCACCGCCGTAGTTCCGAAAGCGAGAGGGGTATTTGGCGACTAGCGACATCTTTCGCGTATTGTGTGAACTTCATGCATCCTTCTTTCACGTAACTCTAGACATATATGCATAGGTGTCGGAGTGTTCGGTGCCCCTTCGTCTTATAAAAGATGTAGTATGCTACAAGACCAACCCTCTTTATTTTCATGTGGCTGAGCCCGTGGTGTTTTACCTTCAAGTAATGGAGAGTAATCCTGAAGAAACAAATAAAACACCTGTCACAGAATATGATGTAAAACTTTTCATAGACAATTATGGTGCATCTTCCAAGAAGTCTGAAGTATTATACAACAAAACAACTGCATTGAATAGGTTATGTTTATTTCTAATATAATGATTCTGTTACGCATTAACTCCTCT